GAACTCACGACCTTGTGCTTGCCAGGCAGGCGCTTTTGCCGCTGAGCTAAATCCCCAGCCCCTATTTATGTACGTTTTGATATCATTTCTTTTTTTCCTCTAGTAGACTATGAGCTCTCTGAAGGACAGAATCCCACAAAGCCTGGCTGATGTCTTGGCTTGGAGTAGCTGTTCAGTGTGTGCTTACAAAACCAGTGAAAACCAGAGCCCCACCCCTGGGGAATCGCTGCAGAACTAGTCCCATGTGGACAACCCACCCACCACCTTGATTGTTTCAGTTTTCTGTTATGACAGTCTTTCCCACTAGCATAGTTCTTGACTAGAAGTATGTATTTATTGAAGGAATAAAAATAATTCTTGAGATTTTAAAATAATTTTATTAGAAAAGTGTAAATTTTAGAGAGATTTTAGAAAGATAGACTTGAATACCTTATTACTCTTTTCATTTTTGCATAATTTCAAGCATAAAAACTAAGAGTTTTATGTGTAAGCTTTCAAAACAAATAATAAAGTTAAGGAAAATGACAGTTATTAAGGGAAAATTTTCAGCCAAGGATAACTAAAGCAGTGAAAATTTGATGCATACGGATTGCTTGTTCTAGTGGACTTTTATATACATTTCCTTGCAGCTTCACTAAGAAACAGCCATTCAAATATTTCCTTACCTCTGCAGATAGGAGGTGATGTCCATGTTCCATTTTCTAGGCAAACACTCCGTAGGGAACCCTCCAGCATGTACCCACTATAACAGGAGTAGGTGATCATGTCCCCATACTGGTAATATATACCTCGAGCAATTGCATTTTCTACATGAGTTGGTGGGCCACAGGAGATTTCTATAGGAAGACCAAACAAACAAATTAAGCCAGTGCTACTAATCCAGACTGAATACACAATCTCCTCTCTAAGGCTGAATTAATTTAAAAAGCAAGATAAAATGCATAAAGGGAACATTAATATCCAGAATAGTAGGAACTAAGAGTTATCTGCTGCTGTTTAGAACAATTATATGTACAAGATCAAAGGATTTTTGCCCTCTGATTCAAATACTGAAGCTGCACTATTTTGATCTCAAGGAAAGAAGTCTGTAGGAGACCAAAAATGAGCTCATGTATGTCACCAAAGAAGTGGCTGCATGACAATGTCAATCTAGGATGCTTTTATCAAACTGGACGAGGAAAAACAAGACAATTGTACCCCATTGTTTCAGAATAAAGACCATAAACAGCAGTACAGTACATCCAATCAGGAATGTTTTAGTTGTTCTTGGAACACTGCCTGGCACACAGTGAAAGTTTGATGCATATTTGCAAAAGGAGCACATGAATAAATATTTAGCCTGTGGATGAGGCTTATGAAATCCAGTTTCTCATCAGTTTCTTCCTGTGCGGTGCTGTAAAACAGTGGTGCTCTACTTTTGCTATCTGTGAAACTGAATAACAGTCGTATTGTTTAAAAGAGACACATGCTTTCTATTCAAATAAAATCTTTTGCTTTAGGATCTTATAAGAAGCCTTAAGGTAACTAGTATATGCTGGGGTGGATCTTAAGGCATCCTGACTGGATTGAAGGGAGGAATCTAGTCCATTTCCATTTGTGTAAAGTTTAATTTTTGGAAGCAAAGTCTTCCTAGCCTGGGCTCTAAAAGGTCACCTTGTTGTCATAATACTATTAAAACTTGATAAAGGGATGATAAATTTGTATAGTCTTTCTAAATTTTCTTTTCCTTCTAAGTGGGACAAAATGCCTACTCTGTATCAGAAACTGAAAAGAAATGAATGAGGAAAATGCTGACTCTTTGCTCAGAGAAGTCGGGAAAGACAGACAAAGGAGTATCACACAACCTAAAGTGAACTGCAGGACAGGAAGGGACACCGTACAGCAGGGATACTGGGGTGGACGTATCTATGCTCCAGTTCACCAAGGGATGAAGTGCAGAATAAGTGCATTTGGACTGGGCAGGCTATAAATCTTGGGTGGGTCAGAGGGGAAAAGCTCCAGCTTCGGGAGCTGATCATGAGCTGAAGGTTAGTTTATAGGAGTCTGAAAATCAAAGCCCAGGTTTCATTGCACCTCTACTGGAATCGTGTGAGGTTCTCATTAAAAATGTACATTTCTGGGCTTCTTGGCTTACACATCTGAGTTTTACATACTCTCCCAGGAGAAAAAAAATCTTACGTTAACATTTTACTCTTTGATAGAGATAAATGTCGAAGGCAGGTGAGCAGAATGAGAAGGTTGCCGATTAGGAGAGGGAAGGATATTTGGTTTTAAGCCAAAGACTTCCCATCTAACAGAAAACACAAAAGAGGATTGAAGGTACCAAGCAACAGGAAACTGTCTCCTCTCCAAGGCCACGCCTGACCCACAGTGAGAGCACTGGAGAGTAATTAAGCATGCATGGAAGGACTGTAATTGCATTTGTAACAAGTGCACGTCTCTTCTTACTCTTTCCCCCTGTGGCCTGAATGGTAAATCTCTGCGAGCCAAGGCCAATGTGGGGAGATGTGGGCAGAATGAGGTCACTTGGCCTGCTTCCTTCAAGCTGCCAGCTCTAAACCAGACTGCAGGCCGAAGAGAAACTTCAGTTGAACACACTTAATTCTTCGCATTGCATCAGCGGTAGATTTTCTAAGTATTTGGGACCCAAATCTCACCTAAAATTATAGTCCACGTTTACCTGGGAGAAAAATCAACTTTTGAATGCTACAATAAGCTACTAGTTCAAAATTCAGGGGTTCAGGCTAATGGGTATCTCTTCCTCATCTAGAGGTGGGGATAATATGGTAGACATCAATTTATCTCTTCTTGATAACAAACCCATAAGATAGGTATTACTGGCATGATTAACAAATGAGACTCAGAAAAAGTAAGGCACGAATATGAGTTGAGAGTTAAAATCCTTGAGGACAGGATTCCAGGACAGATCTTCATACTCACACTCCCAATTCTAAGCTGATTAGATGGAGTGTGGGTGTTCTGAATGGAGACCCTCGTGGGCATAATATACTGGCCCTATGCTATGTAGTCCAGTGTCTTGAAAGTGGGTAGACCCAATAGACATTTTTATGGATTGCTGTTGAGGGAATAGAGCGGGCAACAGGGAAGCTGGAGGGTGGGAAGCTGGGCAGGGAAAGTTTTAAGAGCAGGTAGAAAGTGCACATTGAGAGATATCACAGGTTATCACAGGTAGCAAGGGACTTTGTCACACTGTGCCATGTAATGTCACAACCTACATCAATAAACACCATGCCAGCCCAGTGGTTCCAAAACTGTGGTTCTTAGAGCAGCAGTGTCCTAATCAGCAACACCCAGGAGCTTGTTAAAACTCCCAGACTTAGTGAGTCAAGAACTCTCAGGCTGAGCCCCCAGCGACGTGCCTTTTAGAAAACTTTCTAGGTTGTAAAACAAGCTCAAGTTTACAAACCAAAGATTAATTTTTGTATCCACAAAGGTCTTACAGCTTATTAAGGGATAGTTTGGGGATTCTGATAAAAGTGGAAAAAATATGTACTTTAAATTTAATTTCTTGCTTATGCTTAAAAGAGCACACTTTGAAAACCTGCTCAGTGAACCCTGTTCGGGTAAGTATTAGCTTAATTCTCAAAAGACTTTTTTTCTTTGTTCCAGGAATTGAACTCAGGGCCTCACACTTGCCAGGCAGGTGCTGTGCCACTGAGCTACATCCCCAGCACAAGGAAAGACATTTTAAAAAAATGTTTGTGATTCAGAGTTCTTTTATAACGATTTTAAACATTGTTAATGAAGAAGATGATAAAATGACAGTGTGAAAACCTAAATATCTGCAATTAAGTTTCTTTACTGGATAAAACCTCGCAAAGATGAGAAAGCATTTCATGCTAATGGCAGTCACTAGGTCCCCCCTGCTGACTCACTTTCACATTTGGTGCTGGTCTGTGTCCACGTCTCATCAGGGCTGCAGGTAATGACACCTGGGCCCTTGAGTAGGAACCCTTCTCTACACCTGATAGACACATTCTGATCAACATAAAACTCCTTTTCAGAGAGCAGAGCATTCTCCGGAATCACAAAAGGGACAGGGCATGGATTGGCTGTGAAAAGGAAAAGAAAATTCTTACTGTTATTTCCCCCTTTTTCCTAATTTATTTCTTTAAAGGCAAAGTAGACTCCTGATGGTTTCTCAGTGATGATAACTAGTTTTAAAATAGCTAGAACTTCAAGTTTTCTCTTTCTTCCTCTTCCTTCCCCCTCCCTCCCTCTCTCCCTCTAGCTTTGTCTCTCTCTGTCTCTATCTCTGTCTCTGTCTCTCTGGATTTAACCCAGAGCCTTCCCACTGGGCTATATCCCCAGTTCCATATTCCCTTTTGTATTTTTCAAGACATGGTCATGCTAAGTTGCTAAGTGGCTCAGGCAAGGCTTAAACTTCCTACTTCAACCTCCACAAACATTAAGCACAGACTTGTTTTGAATCCACAGCAAATAATTTGTACAGATAAAATCAGGCAGGATCTGAAGACACATGTTATTTAACTCCTAATGAAGGTTCTACAAGTCTAAAGTGGAAAAGTAAATAGTTATTTGAAAGTATAATGCGCACCATTATTTTAGACTGTTTTTTATGAGCATGGAGGCAACAAAAGACATACTAGAAATCGAGGGTGTATTCCCTTAAATTTGGAGAATATTAATAGCATGGTAAGTTATTTTATCAGATTTCTTTATTGAACATCCTGTAGAAAGATGGACCCAGAGAATCATTAGATGTTTCTGTGTGAGCAGACTATGGCTTCAGACTTACACTGCTATGGGTAGAATATTAAGACCTCAATGTACAGTTTGCAAGCCTTATTGATAAAGAATGATTCATGTTTTTAAGCCTGAAGGAAACACAGGAACTAATGGTGCTAGGCTTGTTTAGTGCAAGTGTGTGACAGCATATCAATGCATATTCCAAATAATTTTAGTTTTTCTGATTTTAAATGGGCTAGAAGGTTACAGAACTATGATACACTTACTTTAAGCAGAGTTTTTTCAGCTTTATCTTGTTTGAGAATACTGTTTTCATTCAAGTGATTATACCTATCTTTATTTACCATATATATTTTATTATATTAATATTACATTTTAAACTTTTTTTATTCTTTACCCCTTTCCTATCCTTAATAGAATTCATTATACACAGTCAATTTTCATTAACACATTTATGCATAGCATCATTTTTGTAGTGCTCATGACAATAGAACATAATAGAAAATTTTTTTTTCAAATTCTTATTCCTTGAAATTTTCTAGGTAACATATAGGAATTTAATGCAAAAATTCAAAAACCGCAATCTTCTGCATACATGGGTTCAGCTGCATTTTTTCATAGTGTTCTGAACTTGTAATTAGCCAGAAAACCTGATAAAAGCTGATTCCTAGGATGTTTTAGGCAATACAAGTGGATTTGAAAAAATACTTTGTCAATGTGGTTCGACAGGCACGTTACTGCCTTCTCCGGGCTAATCTCTCTGATCAGCAGTTTCCCTTGTTTTATGTGGGGGAAGCTAATCATGAACCTGAATCTGATTAAACTGTTCCTAAAGTCAACACACACGTTTGCAGAGAGGAACTGGGTGGCTCCACGTGCCGTTGTCAGTGCACCATGCCGTGGGGAGGCCTTCAAGGCTGTAGCCTCGGTGGCAGGTGTAGGTGACGCTGAGTCCCGTGGTGGTGTTTTCCACGTCGACCTCCCCATTCAGAAACCCAGAAGGAGCTCTGCACCTGGTCTCTAAAAGAAAGCATAAGATCTTTCTGTTAAACATCCTCCAAACTCTCTTTTCTTCTTCTGCTGTAGTTGTTAAAGGAACCTAATGCATAATGTACAGAAAATACTACACAATAACATAAAATATTGCCGTCTACTTGTGTGTAAGATATGATACTCACTCCTAGAGAAAAGTAGCTTCTATAAGTATTGTATTCATATGTGCTCACAATTAAAGTCTGCTATTTTGTCCACTTTATGTCAGCTGTTTATATGTTGTTAATAATGCTTAATAATGCTAAGGATAGTGGGCAGTATGGATGGGTAGGTGGGTAAAACAAACTTAACATGTGGTAAGTTGCAACCATGGTCAACAACTTTCCATACAATACCAAAAACTTTTTTTTTACATAATTCTTGGATTGTTAGTCCAGATAGAAATATAGGTCACCCAGTTAAAGTTGATTCCCATTTCAATACAAGTATGGTTCAAAAACTGTGTGGAACAGAATTTATTTTTTAAAATTATTTTTTATCTGAAATAAATTGAAATGAATATCCTGTATTTTTTCCTCCTAAATCTGGCAGCATTACTTAGGCAGCTTTGAGGTTGTCCCAATTAATAGTTGAAAAGTGAGTCTCAGCAATGTGAAATAATTTGGTCAAGGCCATGCTGCATCTAAGGAGAGAGAAAAAATAAGCTGACTAAAAAGTAAAATAGAATAGAAAAGCATCAGGAATGGGGACCTGTGAGCTCAGGGGAAGTCAGAGTGAAGGGCATTTTGTCTGGCTTTTCTGGGTGGTGTAAACTTCATATCCTGATGAAATCATATATAGCTATGACAAAAGGTTTTAAATCGTGAAAAATGTTATTACCAGGAATGTGCTAGAAGGAAATGCCCTTTCTGAAGAATCTTAAAAAGTGGATCTGAGTTTTAATTTTATAATTTTTTGGAAGTAGAGGAAGTGGGTTAGACCAGTGATCTTCAATTTCAGCTTTATATTAGCTTCTGGGAAGCTTTTATATTCATGGGCCTATACTAGACTAAATGAATCAGTATCTCCATGTTGTGGCCCAGTTTTTAGTATTTTATTAAAAGCTCCCCAAATGATTGTAATGTCCATTCAGAATTGAGGGACCCTGGATTAGATGCTAGCTGACTTTTTTGGACTTCTTTCAGCCTGTTGATTTTTTCATGTACTGGGACCATGGACCTTAACCTTTGCTGTACTTCACAATTCCCTGGAGAGCTCTATGAAGGTACAGATGCTTGTTCCGCCCTGAGAGATTTAACTGGTACAAGGTGCTGACTGGGCACTGGGAATTTTCAAAGCTCCCTAGGATAGTCCAGTATGCTGAAAGCTAAAATTTAAAGGCCTAAGGTGGAGCTTTGCAAACTGCAGTGTCCAAGGGCACTGTCTAGGAGTCTTATCAGAATGCAAGACCTGAGGTTCTGAATTGTGAACAAGATCTCAGGTGCCACTGTAGTCTGTGGGCTGCATATGGAGAAGCACCAGTTTAGGGAATCCTACTGATTTGTATGGGCTTCTCTGACAGCTGATAATAGATATCAACAAACTCAGTGACTTAGTGAGCTATAAAAGAGGCTGGGGATTTAGCTCAGCGGCACAGCGCCTGCCTGGCAAGTGTGAGGTTGTGAGTTCGATTTCTGGTACTGGAAAAACATGAAAAGCAAAACAAAACAAAAAGAATCTTACAGGTAAAGTTTCGCAGTATGCATACTTTTCCCCTAGAAATAATTGTACTTTTATATATAGAGAGAAAAAATACAATAAAATATCAAAATATTAACAGGTTTTACCTTTGAGTGATGGGATTAAAATTATTTTATTTTGGCCTATTTATGCTATTTAGTGTCTGGAAATTAACTCACATGACTCTAATAATTTAGAAAAAAAAAGATAAGTCATAGGATATAATAAGCTATGTATACAGGGATGTAGCTAAGTGGCAGAGTATTTGTCTAGTGGTTGTGAGGTTATACACTTATTCTATCACCATTTTGCATTTGTGGGATGAAAAGTCAACCATTATCCTTGTAACTCAAAGCCAAAAAAAATCCCCTCACCAACACATGATGGCTTCAAAAGCAAGTCATGTATGATTCTTTTCCATGCCTCACTCCCCTTGTCTGCACATACATGCACACTTTTTGATCATAAGTAGCTTACGGAAAAATGCTATTATCAAGAACATCCAAGGTCTTACATAAATACTAATTCCTGTGACTTGAGATGTTACTCAATATTTTAAAAATATTCTTCTATGTAATAGTTATTCAAGGTTTTTTTTTTTTTTTTTTTTCGGTACCGGGAATCAAACTCACGACCTCGTGCTTGCCAGGCAGGCACTGTGCCGCTGAGCTAAATCCCCAGCCCCTTATTCAAGGTTTTGAGGGTTCAAAAAGTTGTCATTCTCCTCTGAACTGCAACCACATAACAGTCTTTAAAAGACTTAAGATTCCTGTATATACACGAAAGTATCTCATTTATCTACCTCTGCTATGCTTGGAACAACAGGCAAGAGGGATTTAAGATCGTGGAATCCCTGTGCCCGCTCCACCACCAACTTGGTCTCTGATGATGGCCAGGCCACTTCACCTCTCCTAGCCCTCCTTGTTTGTCAGTCAAAGGGACTGAAGTAGATCATCTACGAGGCTCTTCTATGTTGAGAATTTGATGATTCTATCAGATCACCTAGAAAAAAACTAGAAAGCTAGAATTGATTTGAAACTATCATCTTTAAAGACATTGTCATTTGGAAGAGGAAGCATATGGGCCACAGACTAGGGATGAAGTCATGTGGATTAACCTACATGTTGCCAAAGAATTTAGCTGTTCTCATAAAATGAGTTAATGCAACTTTCCATGTAAATTTGTTTGACAGATGTTCCATCAGCACTTAAGATGTCAGAATTCTCTGGTATTGCCATCAAGAACAACAGCCCTAGGCCTTTTTATTTGTACTTATCTGGGGAGAAACCGCACAAAAATGCAAATAACCACAACAACTATCTAGTTCCTAAACAAAATGTTTGCCGTCCCAGAGTGAGTACTCTTGTGCTGTATTCCAATTAATCATTAATCCTACTGTAGTGTTTGACCCTTTCATTAGTTTGGTGGCCTTGAGCAAAGGCTCATCCAACTTTCTCCTACAGTTTATTGAATTGGTTTGGAAATAGAAAAATAATTTTTAAAAACTGGGGGTGGGAGTGTAGCTCAGTGATTAGAGTGCTTTACTAAGCAGGCTTGAAACCCTAGGGCTTCCACTTCCAGCATAAAGGAAAAAAAAAAAAGGCTGGAATTTGTGCACACACAGATACAAGAATTTTCCAAAAAAAAAAAAAGAACAGCAAAACTGATGTGGAAATAAAATGTAGCCGCACTGTTATTTTGTGTCCTCAGAATCATTTTTGGAGCCACTGTCACTTCACTTACTTCTACATGTTGCTACCCCTCCACTCCACCGTCCGTCCTCTTGACAGACACACTCTCTGTTCCCCTGTGAATCGATGGAGAAAGGTTATTTGCAAGATCATAATTCTATAACAGAAAGATAGTAAGAGAAGGCAAAGCAATCTTAGTTATAGACTTGAATGTTTTGGCATTAAGTGCTAAATAAATATAGTATATGAAGCAAATACAGGATAAGGAGTAGGTTTAGATTTTGAAAAACATTTTTATCAAATTACATTAAAATTCACCCCTGGTAAACCACTGTAATTTAGGTATAGATTTTGCTTTATCTTCTATTTTCAATGACAACTAAGTACAATCTGTAGCAAAGACTGACAAAGAATGGATGAGAAAAGTCCAAGAGGTATATTTTCATAATGTACTATAAAAATATTTGTAATTGTTTTATCTTTCAATACTTGACAGGCACAGCAAAGAATATGAAATATATTGGTATGAGGACAGAATTTTTGAACAGTGTACCTCATTTTATTAAACATAAACTTACCTTAATGAGGATCTGTGCATTTAAAGTTTTAAATGTTTTTGGTAAAACCTTTCTAAAATTTATTTCTCTGCCTTTGGAAATATAGCTTCCCTTTATTAATGTATATATGTATGCATTTTTTCCAAGGATTGAACCTAGGACCTTCGATTCTTTCAAAGCTCAGATGGCTGACAACCCCTTGGATTGTTTCTTCATTTTCTATTCTGTTCCACTGACTTGCATGTCTGTTTTTGTGCCAGTACATTCTGCTTCTATCACTGTAACTTGGAAGTATAATTGGCAGTCTAAGATTGTGAGGCCTCCTGCTTATTTCTTGCTACTCAAGATTGACTTTGCTACTCTGGATCTCTTCTGATTGCATGTGACTTTTAGGATTGCTTTTTCTAGTTCTTTCAGTATACTGTTGCTATATTGATTGGAATTTCATTAAATCTATATATCTGTTTTGATAGCATGGACATTTTGACAATATTGGTTCTGCCTCTCCAGGAATAGGCATACTTTTCCATTTTCTGATGTCTTCTTTGATCTCCTTATTCAGAGTACTATAATTTTTATTATAGAGATCTTTCATTTCTTGGTTAGGTTAATTCTAAAATATTTAATTTTTCTTGATGCTATCATGAATGATATTGTTTTCTTAATTTCTTTCCCAGTAAGTCCATTACTGGTATATAGGGACAGTAGTGATTTCTGTGTATTGACTCTATTCTGCTATGTTATTGAATTTATTAATTCTAAGAGTTTTTCAGTGAATTTTTTTGGACATCTACATAGAGTATCATGTCATCTGCAAATAATCCTAATTTGACTTCTTCCTTTGCTATACACATAGTTTATTTTTTCTTCTTGCCTGATCACTTTGGTTAATGTTTCAAGAACTATACTGAACAGGAATGGTGATAGTGGACATCCTTGTCTTGTTCCTGATTTTAGAGGGAAAACTTTCAGTTTTTCCCATTGAATATGATGCTATCAGTAGGTTTGTCATAAATGGGCTTTTATAAGATTGAGATAAGGTCCTTTTCAACCTGTTTTGTTCAGAGTTCTTGTCACAAATGGATGTTGGATTTTGTCTAGGGCTTTTTCTGTATCTATTGATATGGTCATTGAAAGAATTCAACTACCACCGTCCTAGGCTGACCACAGACTATTGCAACATCACTACCTAGCACAGCTGCACTATAGCAGCCACCACCAGTGGATGTTCTCAAGGCTCACCCTTGGGGAATCATTACCCTTTCTCAATCCTTGATCTTGGCAGGCAGCCATAACCTCTTTTCACTGAACTGCCTCCCATCATCCTATAAAAGACCCCACAGCCTATATGAGAAGATCTGGTCTGATCTCAAGGCCAGAGTGGTCCCTCTCAGGTTTGTTCTGAAATAAACCTGTCTGGTTTGAGCTCATACCTTTGTTTCTCTTCCTTTTTTCTCCCTAACAATCATATGAGTTTTGTTTTTTGTATGTGGTGAGTTACATTTATTAGTTTGTGTACGTTGAACCATCCTTGCATCTCTGCAATGAAGCCTTCTTGGTCATGATCTATGAGCTTTTAAATAATTAGTTGCATTCTGTTTGCCAGTATCTTTTTTTTTTTTTAAATAAAGTTTATTGAAAAGCAACTGTACTTCCACTTTATGGTAACAAACAAAGAAACCCACATCATTTATAAGAGTATTAAAATATGAACTAGTGATAAATCTCACCACAAAATTGTTCACCAGTATCTTGAGGATATTTGCATCTACTATCATTAAAGAGATTAGCCTTTAGTTTTCTTTTTCAGTTGAGTCCTTGTCTGGTTTTGGAATCAAGGTAATTCTAACTCAAGTCTAGAAGCTTTAGCATGTGGATTCTGTGATAGTCTTTTCTTTGCTTAGAGTCTGGACAGCATATTGTTTTGAAATTGTGGTCCAAATAAGCAAGATGTGTGAAAAGGAGTTTCCTTTTATTTGGTTTTTATTTGGATTGAGTGATATCCTTCTTACTGCCCTCTTCCAAACTATTTTTCCTTGAAGTAATAGTTTAATTATTATTAAATCTCTTGCAAAATTGCCATTTACTTCAGTGGGAAGGCTCTGCCCTGACTTTCCAATAAATTTATTTCTAATAAATTTTCCACAAATTTAAATGTTCTTAAAAAGATATATGCAATATTTTCTTCTTATTAAGATAGAAGAAATGTTGGAAAATATAAAAGAAAAATAGTAACTTTCCCTGGATCTTTCATTCAGAGATATTGTTAGCATTTATGCCTTTTCTTTCTTTTTGTTTCCTGTTTGTTTTGTTGTGTTGTGTTGTGTTTTGTTTTGTTTTGTTTCTTTGGTTGTTTGAGACAAGGTCTTACTGTGCAGTTCAGGCTGGCCCTCCACTCACTATGTAGGCTAGGCTACCCTGGAACTCACAGCGATTCTCCTGCCTCAGGCTCTTGAGTGCTGGGATTACAGGTGTGAACCGCCATGTCCAGCAACACTTGTGATTTTCTATGCACAGGAAAATATACTTTTCTAATTTGTGAATTACTTTTTATTAATTTGGAAAAATAGGTGAGAAATAGTTAAAACTAGCTCTTAACCGGTCATTTGATACTTCCTGAGTGGATTTTACTAATGGATTTTACTCACTTTAGTCAATATCTGCTTCTTGTCTTTAGTCAACATAGCAAAGGTGGGCACTGCATCTACACGATAAACACTGGGAATAGCCTTAGGCAGGGTAGGTCAGTTTTCCAGCATCATTTGCCCAGCAGAGCAGAGACTGTACTGGAGCCCTATCAAGTCAAAAATCTGATTCTTAGCCACTTTCCCAGCCACTAATCTTTGGCATCTGGGGTGCTTGTTAAGAATTCAAAGCTCTTGCACAGCAAGTGATTATAGTCAATTAGAATTATTATATATTTTAAAACTAACTTAGAGTGTACATTTCAAAGGTCTCATCATGAGAAATGATAGATAAATGAGGTGACGGGTATGTTTAAATCATAGCACCTTACATACATAATATATAGTCCATTACATACACATGCTATATGTATGACAAACACATTGTACCCCATAAATGTGTACAATAACGTTATGGAAATCAATAATGGTATTACTAACACATTTTTGAAAGTCCAAATTCAGATTCCATTTGGTTCAGAGGATCTTAGCCTAGGAATAAATACTCCTTTTCCTTTCTTTTTTTTTTTTTTTCGTTTTTTTTTTTCCAGTACCAGGAATCAAACTCATGACCTTGCTCTTGCCAGGCCGGTGCTGTGCTGCTGAGCTAAATCCCCAGCCTCTCCTTTTCCTTTCATAACTTTGTAGATGATTCTTAAGCAGGTGGTAGTGAACCATACTTCTGGAAACACTGCATGATGTCATATACCAGCGGCTCTTAATCCTGGGTGCAGGATTAAGGTTCTAATGTGTTCTAATGTTCTAATGTTCTAAGGTTCTTAGAACCACTTGAGAAACTTAGAGAAAGATATTGTTGCCCTAGACCTAACCCACAAAATATTGAACTAATTAGTTGGGTATGAGTGTGGGCATTCACATTAAAGAAATACAGTCTTGTGGGAAAAATTCAAATGTATGAAAAATTAGAATAGTAGAACAGTAGAAATAAGAGTATCAGAAACTCATATGTAGACAGGACATAGCTTAAAAAATTAGCTCAATCTCGTTTAATCTAAGTCCTACCCCTTTTTACTAACCTACATTCTTCTAAAGCAAATCCCTGATGACATCAGGTCCCACATGACATGAAATCATTTAGCAATATTATTTTCAGTATTAATCTCTAAAAGACAGGGGTTTTTAAAAAATTATAACCACAAAATAACATTACACTTGAAAAGCAACAATTTCTATCAATAAATATATTCAGTGTTTAAATTTCTAATCATTGCATAAATATTACTTTTACTTAGTTTTTACAGTTCATTTGAATGAGACCAAAATAATATCTACATATAGAGATTAATTTGTGTGTATGGTGGTTAATATTACGTACTCTGGAGTACCCAGATTAAACATTGTTTCTGGATGTACCTTACAGTGAAATGAGCATTTGAATCTGTAGACTCAGTAAAGTAGACTACCTTCCCCAGTGTGGCTGGGGATAATCCAATCCATTGAGGGACTAAGTAAAACAGAGTAGAAGGAGGACATCATCTCCTTTTCATTGCTGCACTGCTTGAGTTGGTACCTCTCATTTTCTGAACTCAGACTGATATATACCATTGAATTACCTTGTTCTTAAATTTCAGTCTTCGACTGAATAGTGTCACTGCCTTGCCTGGGTCTAGCCTGCAGATGGCACATCATGTGGATTTACCTTCATACTTTTGTGAGTCAATTCTCACAATCCTACTCCCTGTCTCTCTCTTTCTCTCTTCTATTGGTATTGTTTCTTCAGAAAATCCTAACATAGTGTCTCTGTATGTCTCTAAAACTATTATAGTTTCATCTTCATTTCCCCCCTCGACTCTGTCAATTTACTTCAGACTGGAAAAACCAGATCATCTGTTCTGTAGATGTTCCCACAGACAGGGTATTGTTATTGCTCTTGTTGTTTTTGAGACAGGGTCTTGTCATGTAGCCCAGGCTGGCCTTGAACTCATTATGTAGCTCAGGATGGCCTTGAATTTACGGCGGTGCTCCTGTTTCACTGTCCCATGTGCTGGGATTATAAGTGTGCAGCACCATACCTCGCTTCACAGATGGGATTTTGCTGGTTGCCCTACTATATTGTTTCTGATACTGTATGTTAGATTTAGAAACTAGATATAATTCAAACTTGATTTTTCTTTAGCAAGTAGGACAGTTCCTTTTCATAAACAAAGTTGTGATTTTCTTTATTCAGAGGTATGTAATGTCTGGTTGTCTTTTTTTATGATATCAAGCAGCTATGGTGATCATAACTTAAATATACTAATTCTGGTATTTAAATTCATTCCTTTAATAACTGGAATACTTTTATAGAGGTATATCTATAATTTAGTAATTCTTATATCTAGTTAGCATTAGAAAGAGAATCCTTCCCCTTCAATTGTATCTTTTACAAATGAATTTGTTATGAGCATCTACCAATAGTTACTTATTTTTTTAGTATCATTATGATTCTAATATCACTCATGAAATATCTGAAGTGTTTCAGTCCGTTGAAGTTATTATCCTTATTGCCACTGAAATGGTCTTATCTTGGCTTTGGGGAACTTCATCCAGTTGGCTTCAGAGTGCTTTTTGCATGAAGTCTTTGGTGGGTTTGCAGCTACCTCATGTGATGAGATTTAGGCATTCCTTTACATTTCTCACCCATGACCTGGAATAAGTTATTTCTCCAAGTAACTGGACATCAGTAGTTTTTAAGTTTGTCAGGTGCTCCTAACATGTATAGCTTACAGTGAGAATAATTGCTAACCTACCTCTCTCAATTCTAGCACTTGGTTGTTTCCAAAATAATTGAAGTTATCTACTTCTTCAAATTTAAGTATCTTGCTGTACATTTTCCCCAGATGTTTACACTGCTTTTCTTATTTAATTACAAAATTCACACTCTCACACAAAGATAATTAGGATTCAAAGCCAGGAATTCCCCTCAGTTGCTATCAACAATTTTATTGTCATCCTTTTTTATGTTTCTTTTTTTTTTTTTTTAACATTTTGATGACATTCAAGATCCATAGACGCCTCATTCCTGCTTTCATGTACCTATTTATTTGTCAGGTCAAAATGTAAAGGAACATATTGCCCACAATTAAGAGATTACTGGCAGTGAATATTCTGCAAAACCTGTACTGCAGAATATTCACTGTACAAATAAAGACAGGCAAGAGGAGTTTCCTGAAAAACAAGATGACAAGCTAATGTAGTTCCGAACATGAAATCTCTTTAACTTCATGTTTGGTAATATAAGGATGCTTCCTGCAAAATAAACAGTCTCCCACTTATGTCAATAGGGAGATGTAGATGCTGTTGATGGAGTTTTAATATTATAAGCAAACTTGCATTAAGAATAAAGTGGATGTTTGCTAGAATCGCATTAAGGATGTTTTTCAGGCCAGATTTGGAAACCTAGCACTCAATCAAGAACTTACCAATGCATATGAACTCATTTGTTTGAGGAAGTTCTGGCTTTGCATACCTAACTCAGACCCTATTGTCACCTCACCATAGTGATAGGTGGACTTTCTTTTTGCACAGCATGACTGCCAGCAAGTCAAAACATGTTGAAGTGGTCAGTTGAGGTAACAGTGCATACTTGAGTGTTAAACTCTAAGGCAATACAGTACAATAGGATACATTAAGATTGGTGTTAGTGATGTAAGTTTGTGTTGATACCAAAAATATTCCCTAGTATATTGGAAAACAAATTAATTCTAGTTAAACAATTGGTTTGCTTACCTCTAATTCATAGCCAGGTTCACACTGATAAATAATTGTGCTTCCGAAGCTGTATTTGTTGCCAACCACAAATCCATGTTTTGGACTTTCAGGTTTCCCACAAGAAACTGGACTGCAAGATTCATCAGAAAATGGTGGCTCCCAGGTACCATCAAGCTAAGTAACAAATAATGAACTGTATTTAGGAATTCATACACATTAATGAAGAAGTTTGCAAATGCTGGTATATGGCAAAATAACTGCCAAAATGATAGTCAAAAGGACCTACTGTTTGGTCTGGCTTATGAATTACCTATGGCTCTAACCAAACAACACTCATTACTAAATGGTCCTCAGAGTCATCCCTAAACATACGTAGACATTTTTAAAACATATAAAATAACATTTCTTCTTACTAGATTTCACTCAAAAATTTAAAAGGACTACCATACTGTACGTTCCTCTTGTAGTATGTGAAGATTAGATATGGATATAGTCTATGATTTTATCTGTATACCCTTATATTTCATAGGATTCCACAATAAAATTTATGAGAAATTACTTGCAGGCATTATACTGAAAGTATTAAACAATGGTTTCCTTTTCTTTATTTCAACATGAATCCTTCTATCATTTATTCTTGAAGGGGTCAATAGTAAATAAAAAATTTTTATATACTTTTTAAACCACCAGATTTAACATTTTCAGCCTTCTAGTTGGGTAGAGTGAGGTAACCACAGATGTTTCTCTTGAAGATTGTTATTCTCTTGCTAACTGTGATATTGTGATACTAGGTGTTTGTGGGGTGTGTGTGTGTGCGTGTGTGTGTGTGGGGGTTTGGTTTTTGTCTACTATTCTTGGCTCATGACTCTATCTCCAATGCAGGCCATAGAAGCCAGAGTTTCCCTTCCTACACGGAGTCATAAAACCTCCAATCTTTCTCTGTCTTTCTTTCTTGAAGCTGTCCATAAAGACATTTTCTGATCCACCTATGTGACAGTAGATCATAAGGCCCCTATTTCAGAAGGGGTCCTAGCCTATACCCATGGGGAAGAAATGTTACACAAGGAGGCCAAGATGGATCTGCACAGACAGGGCTTGCTGGGTTTTTCCAGCATGTTAATAATATTAGATCAGACCCTTTTGTCCAATCACATTTCGCCACAGTAGTTCATGCTTTAATCACACCTATGCAATGAAATCTCCATGAAAAACCAAAAGGACAGGGTTCAGAAGCTTCTGGACCGCTGAACACACGGGAGCTCTCAGGAAAGTGAACAAGGCTCATTCACATGCTGGGAAGGTGTTACGTGTTCACCGGACCCCTTCAGACCTTGCCACACTTTTGTTTGTGCTCTTTTATAATAAAGCAGTAATGTAAGTAAGTATTTCCCTGAGTTCTGTGAACAACTCTCACAAATTAATGGAACTCAAGGAGGAGTCACAGGAACCCCAAATGATAGCTGGAAGGTCAGAAGCTCTACAGGCCAGGACTTGCTACTGGCATCTGGACTGGGTGGAGTCTTGAGCACTGAGTCCTCTGCAGTCTCAAGACGATTTGAAGATTATTGGCCTGAGTCCTCAAACTCTGGGACATGACACAAAGTCATGTACAAGTATTGCATCAGAGTTGAGATGAATTAGAGGATGCCCAGGTGGTGTCTGCTGCAGAACTGAGTTCTTGCTTAATATGTGTGTGTGTGTGTGTGTGTGTGTGTGTGTGTGTATCTGGTGTCAGGAAGGTGCTGTGAGAGGATGGAGTGAAAAAGTGAGTTTGTTTTTCTATATCTTCAGACTCATAGTTTTCTTTGATGAAACAGTATGTGAGTTCAATAACAGTTTAAGGAAGATTTTCAGCTAAACTAATTAATCCAGTAAATTTTTTTTTTGTACTGGGAATTGAACTCATGACCTCAGGCTTGCCAGGCAAGCACTTATGCTGCTGAGCTATATCCCCAGCCCCAATCTAATTAATCTATAGAAGTAATTTTATATAAGTATGCCTATATCACAATTGACCTAATGTGTGTAAGTTGTGTTTAATTTTTCAATAGTGTAAGTGATGCTGCAATGAACTTAATTTTGCATAAATATCTCTTAGCATTACCAGGAATTCTTTAAAGTTACTCATAGTGTTTTCTTTTGTTTTACTATTTTTTTCACACATTTTGAATCAATTTTTCCCTATATGGTTCCTTAATGAGATCAAAACAAGCTGTCAGTCATTCCTTTCTCCAGAAACTTGTGTTTTTTCTTTTTTCTTTTTTTTTTTCCTTTTTGAAACAGTGTCTCACTACGCAGTTCAGGCTTGCCTTGAGCTCACTTTGTAGCCCAAGCTGGCCTCAAACCTGCAATGACCCTCCTGCCTCAGCCTCCTGAGTGCTGAGATTACAGGTGTGTGCCACCATGCCCAGCAAGACTTGTACTTCTAACTCATCTTTTTTTCCTTCTACCTAAGTTAACACCAGAGCCACACTGACGGGAGTTTTATCATACTATGTCTTCATTTTTGGCAAGGCTGGCCTTCCTTCAGTAGTAATTTTTCAAAATTTGTTTTGATTTCCTCATGTACTTATTTGTTCTACGAACTACAGAATCACTTCATTACATTATAATAAAATGTATCCAGGTGCTGAACATAATTTGGTTCAATGTATGCATTTGAACACTTAGAAAGGATTTATCCTGCCTTTCAAACCAAAAAACTGAACCAAAACCCGGTTGATCAATGGGTGGTAGTCATAGTATGTGTGAAAAAGTAATGAAGGTTATATAAAATAAACTACTGATTCGGAAAAGAAGAGCTTGGTCCCTAATATCACAGAGTCTTCCTGCAGGACACATGAAGAGTCACTTAGTTGCCCACACATCCAATCTGGAGAGCATGTTTGTTTGCCTTAATCCTGGTAGGGCTCTGACAGCTCAGAGTCTTGGTAAACGTTTCCCCTCAAGCTTCTTTATCTCCAAATCTAAAAGACATGTAACTTTGACAGCACGGTGACTTTGGTCATCATTTGACCTGCTCACTGTGATTTTAGGTTTGTCTGTAACCAATCTTGAATGTGTTTAATTTATAAGTAGATAATTTAGAGGAGAATAAAATAATTCTGCATCCTTATTATATGTCAGGCACGCATTACATACTTCATACACATTAAATAATTTAACTCTTTCAAATAGCAGAGATGTGCAAATAAAGAAAACAAGCTGAGCTCGGTGTGGTGGTGCACACTGGGAATTTCAGTACTTTGGGAGGTTGAAGCAAGAGGATTGCAAATTTGAGCCCAGCATGGGCAAGTTAGTAATTTAGCACAAGCTTATCTCAAAAAAGTGCAGTGGGGCAGGGGAGGAGGAGTTGAGGATGTAGCTGGGTGCAAAGGCTCTGGTTAAAAAAAAAAGGTGAAATGAAGACACGTTTAAGGTAAATTCATTTCTGTACCATCCACAGTCCTTTTCTAGGTCCTGTCTCAACTAACAAAAGAGTATGTTCATGAGTCCTTCGACCTTTCCTACACGGAAGCTAGGAGAAAGGGCTGCACTAGGCAGGTCTGCTCTCTGGGGTGGTGATTCCCAGTTTTAAAGCAAAAAGTGCCAAAGTAAGGTATGATATGAAAATATTTATAACAAGTTATTCGTGATACACTCACCAGCAATTTTATGCTCAACAGTGTCTATGTGAATAAACCAGCCATGATCGTTGGAAAGACCACAGTCTGCAAAAGCTGGCATCTTTTCCTATTATCCACTCTCATTTCTCAAACCATATAATATGTGCTATCAGACACACTGGTTCATTGGTTTTTAAATGAGGAAACTGAAGCTCAGAATGTTTTTTTTTTGGGGGGGGGTACCGGGAATTGAACTCAGGACCTTGTGCTTGCCAGGCAGGTGCTGTGTCTCTGAGCTACATCCTCGGCCCTTCAGAATGTTTAAGTAGCTTTTTACAGACAAATAAATGGCATGAGCAAGATTTGATTCCAATTTTTTGTCTGCTTCTTCAATCTCTGAGCTTTCTGCTGAAACTGGAGACATTTGACATAGTCTCTAGCAGGGATGGTGAACCTTTTAGAGACTGAGTGCCCAAATTGCAACCCCAAACCCACATCTTGCAAAGTGCCAACACTGCAATTAAACCTGACTATCTTATGCACAGCTGCTGGGGTGATGTTGGGGCAACTTGGCTTGCATGCCAACAAAGAAGGTTCTGTGTACCATCTTTTGACACCACTATTGACTTCATGTACACATTCTTTTAGGAATAAGAGCTGGGCATGGTGGCACACAGCTATAATCCCAGCACTTGGGAGGCTGAGGCAAGAAGATCATGAGTTTGAGGCCAGCCTGGGCTACATAGTGAGTTCAAGGACCGCCTGAATTACATATTGAGAACTTATCTCAAAAAAAAAAAAAAAAAAACAAGAATAAGATGTATGGTCAATTTATTATGGCTATCTTGTTACAGATATTTTAACACTTTACCTAACAGTAATACTTTCTTAATTTAAAATAAGAATGTTGGGACAAAAGATATATTCTATTTCTACCAAGAAACTCCTCAAATCCTTGGATGTGAGTGAAAATTTAAGGCACTTTTTGCCTCTTCAGGAGAGCAAGATACCATTTGGATGGTGATATATGCATACTAAGTCTTACCTGACACGTTGATATGTTAACTCCCTTGTAGGTATACCCTTCTGCACACGACAGAAAAACTTGCTTATTCACACTGAAATCATCTCCATGAACAAGTATATGTGTTAAGTTTGATGGCAGAGAACAATTTTTAGAGCTGCAAGAGATCATCTCAGGGAACCAATGACCATCTTTCTGGCAGGTAAATGTATCTGTATCTGTATCCATCATGTAGCCCTCCAAGCATCTGCAATGGAAATGCAAAGAAGAGTGATTTAAAGAAAGTACAATATACTTCTTGACCTATTGTTCGATATACAAAGCTATTACAGGCTTAGAGTACATTTTATATAGGATATCAAAAGTGGTTCGTATTCAGATGGATGGCATTGCCATGTAAAAGCATTAACATAACAATGATAAATAGATCAGTGCTTCAGTCCTTAGTAACCCATATTTTGCAAAGGGGAAGGGGATAAAGCGATGGAGGGAGGTGGAAGGAAGGGCAGTGAAGAGGAAATAAAAGGAATTAAGCTATGTTGTGTACATGTACCAACTCCCCACGATGAATGCGATCATTATGAACTGCAAGTGTACTGATAAAAATTTTAAAAGCGTAACATTGCCTTATGTTATGGGTATTTATCATCATTGTGAATACTATCATTATTGAATTAATTTTATTCTAAAAACAGCTATCTGTTCAAGAAGTTTTAGACAAAGTTCAAAATAGACTCATACTGCCAAAAATATGACATATTTGTTGGGTATACTGAGTGCTGTTCTAGGGGTTATGAATGACAACTGTCTTAATCCTGTAACTGCAGGGTTGGGGTTGAAATTCACCTCAACCTGGCTCTCAAACCCTTTAAGATTTTCAAAATCTGCACTTATTTATTCAGCAAATGTTTACAAAGCACTTATGAAATTATGTTTATTGTTATATGTGCTCTACATGTATCAACTCATTAAATTCTCATGTCAATCCAATAGGTTGGTGGTATTACCTTTATTCCCATTTGCAGAGGATGAAACCTACACCAGGGAGATGAAGTAGCTTCCTCAAAGCTCAAGCTTTGAGTAACGTTGTAGGTCAGAACTTTGAGTAACGTAGTAGGTCAGAACTGAGTTCTCACCTACTATTAAGGCAGTGTAGCCGAGTGGTAAAACCATGGACTCTAGAGGGAGTCTGGCTCTGAAGTCTGTACTTTTACTACACTACACTGCCTTTTAAAAATTAAACCATTTAATTAACATTTATCGCTGGATATCATGTTTTAAAACTCCCATGCTACTAGGCTTAGGTATCAGAGGTTTTTCAAACTTGTAGTCAATTTAATTATCAGACACTAAATAAAGATTTGAAAGGTGATGTACTACCATATATTATGAAACAAAGAACATGGAAATCTTGAGAAGTAGGTGACACTGTGGCTTCTCAAGATTCTTGGCACACCAGATCCAAAGGAAAATTTTGAAATGTTTTTCAAAGGCAAGGAATAATATTTTTGCTGATCAGTGTATGGTCTATCATTCTTTGGCTTCATTATTATTTCAGCCTTCCCTTGGATCTACTTGTTGCAATTAAGAAAATTTGAAGTTGGGGCTAAGATGTGCACAACAGAATGCTTGTTTGCTGGAGAGCTGGCTGAAGTATTTATTAATCAAATCTAACACACTAATACATGAAGGCTAATCTATAACACATTCAGAGATGTAAATAAAATTTAAATTGTTTTTGAAGATTGCAATAAATACCTTTGTACATTTCGGTTTTTGCTCCAACAGAAATTTAATCCCCAAATTCCACATTTTATCATTTATTTTTTTTTTAGTAATACATTTTACGCAGGAAAATTTCCAGCAAAATATCATTGTTTGGGCATTAAATGCTTTAGCTGGGCATGGTGGTGCATGCCTGCAATCCCAGCACTCAGGAGGCTGAGGCAGGAGGATCGTTGCGAGTTCAAGGCCAGCCTGGGCTACAAAGTGAGCTCAAGGTCAGCCTGAACGGCATAGCGAGACCCTGTCTTAAAAAGACAAAAAATAAATAAATAGAAAATAAATGCTTGGTTTTTTTAGAAGTATGGATGAAAGTCCCCTTTAGAATACCTCTCTTATTCATAATGGTCAATGTCAGTATATGTTTTTAGAAAGATTTCATAGGGTTTTTGCCATAGTCTCCCTAACGCTTACATGTATGAATATAACCACCAAGTTATAATCATAAAGAAATTTACCCCATGGTGTTTGGCAAAGAGTTATATGATTCTAGTATCATTCAAGCTGGCTAGAGGATCTTGCTGTTTCATGATAAGCATAATAATTATATTAGAAACCACAGCGTGACAAGGTATAAATTTATTTTTAGAGTCAATGTATTCCTCTATAATTATGCATGGAATAAATCCAAATATTAAAAGGTTTGGGATTTGGAGAGCAGTCCGGAGAGGATGTTCTCTTCCCTATTAGCTAAACTTTTGACATATCACTTTTCATTTTACAATCCTCCTCCCTGCCGCCTCTATAGCCATTGTCTTACCTGAGCTTCACTTTGCTTTCATAGGTGTGCTCCTCTCCAGTTGTCATTGCATTGGCAACAAATGGTGGGGGTCCACAGGACAGGGGCTCGCAGACTGGATAAGGTTGACTCCATGTCCCTTTCTCTGTACAAATCAGATCCGGGCTGCCTTGCATAACATAGCCTGATCTGCAGCTGTAGGTTATTACATTTTCCTGCAAAGGTCTGCTCTCACTGATGATCGCATTCGGTATTGCGGGGAGAGCGCCGCATGAACTGTGTTCACAGTGTGGAAAGCTGGAGCTCCACTGGCCATTGGCTTCACAGGTGATTTCAGAAAACCCCAGCAGATGGAAGCCCTTGAGGCACTGAATCTTGACTGTCTTTCCACAATCAAAATCAGACCCACTGATAGCTCCATATGGAATTTCTGGAGTGGAACACCTACAAGATAGGCAGGAGGGTGGACTGCCACTCCAGGAGCCATTGGAGAGACATCTTCTTGAAGGATTTCCATGGAGCTTATAACCAGGAAAGCACTGATACTGTATATCTCTTCCATGATAAAAAGAAAAACCATTAGGGAACCCATGGGTAAGATCTTCAGGAGGTCCACAGTTCACTGGTTTACAGAGAGGCACCTCTTCATCCCAGTTCCCATCTGACTGACAGGTGATTTTTGAAGAACCGTGTAACACATAGCCCTCATGACAGCGGAACACCACTTCCTTCTTGAAGCTGTAGTCCAATCCATCCATCCTCCCATTTTCTATCTGTGATGGTGGGGCACATTTGACAGGTACACAACTGGGAGTGACTCCGCTCCAACTTCCATTGTCAAGACAGACACGACTTCTGGCTCCCTCAAGTACGAACCCTTCAGTGCAAGTGTACTCAACGTCTTCTTGGAATGTGTACTTCTCTCCTTCCACCTGGCCATTGGCTGGGACTGGGGGTGAGCCACAGTCAACAGGAATGCAAACTGGATCATGCCCATCCCAGTTTTTATTTTCCTGGCATGTTCTCCTCTCGGTGCCATTCAGCACATACCCAGGGTCACACCCATAGTGCACCACACTCAGGTATGTGTAACTGCTCCCTTGGATGAATCCATTTATAACTGGATCTGGCTTTTTACACAAAATGGCTTCACAGCGTGGGGAAGCACCACTCCACTTCCTATTCTGTAGACAAAGTCGTATGTCAGGTCCCACTAGAATGTGCCCAGGTTTGCAGCTGTACTGCGCAGCACTGCCCATGGTAGTCTCTGCAAAGTGCAAAAAGCCATTTTCAGGGGCAACAGGCAAGTCACATTCAACTGAAATACAGGAAGGGGCGCTGCCATTCCAAGTTCCATCTTCCTGGCAGATCAGCATAGGGTTCCCCAAAAGTTCATGTCCTGGATTACAGGTGTATAAAACCATAGTGCCATATAGGAAATTTGAAGAATGCGTAGTGGGAGACTCCTTTGTATTTTCTAAGGTTTTAGCTACTGCTCCCAGAGGATGAGCAGGGTGAGAAGTCAGGTACGGAACTTCCATCATGTCGACTTCTTGGTCAAAATATTCCTGGCCATCTTTGACTTTAGTACAATCACCAAAATCTATGTGAGGAGGGAGACCACAGTCTATGGGTACACATGCTGGGATGGCGCTTGACCATCCTGACTCTTCACAGGTCTGCATGGCGTGACCAGCCACTTGAAACCCAGGGAAGCAACTGTAGATGATTACAGCACCATAGCTGTAATCTGCACCCTCTACAAAACCATTTTCAATGGGCTGTGGGGGATTACAGTGGATGGCATTGCAAGATGGGGCATCCACATCCCAGTCACCTGTCTCTAAACAGGTCAAGGTGTTGGGGCCTTCAAGCCGGAAGCCTCGGTCACAAGAATATGTAACAGTCTTTCCGTAGTGAAGATCTGTGTAAGAGAATTTGCCATTCAAAATCTCCTTGGGCTTTGGGCACTCAATGGGTTTGCATATTGGTTTTCCTCCGAGCCAGTGACCATTTTCTCCACACAGGGTAGTAGTATTTCCAACCAACTCAAAGCCGGGCTTACAAGTATAGAGAGCTGTGCTGAGATAAGCCAGCCCTTGTACATCGACCATGCCATTGAGGATGTCCTCGGGTTGGGGACATTCTACTGGAACACATTCTGGCAGTGGAGAGCTCCAGGCGCCATCAGCTTGGCAAGTAGTGGCAGGATTTCCTCTTAGGAAAAACCCCTCTACACAAGAATACATGACAGTACTTCCAAAGTGAAGAGCAGAAGAAGGAGCAGGGGCACCAAAGGGAATGAGGGAAGGTGGGGGGCAAAGAACCATCTTACATACAGGAAAAGAATCATTCCACTGCTGGGATGGCAAGCATTTCACAACAGAAGGGCCTTGCAGGATATGCCCTTCTCTACAGGAAAGTGTCACCACTCCTATCTCAGAAGTTAACTCCTTCAGTACGAGCTGATTTTCCAAGAGGGGTGGGTCTGGGCACTTGGCAAGCACACACTTCGGGTTTAGCTTCTTATTCCATTTGCCAGATTTCTGGCATGTCCAGAAATGATCACCAATAAGTTCATAGCCTTCGTTACAGAAAAACTGAACCTTGGATCCTACTTCAAAGGTTTCTCCTCTTGTGAAGCCATGCTGGATTGGGGGAGGTTTTCCACAGCTGAGAGGGATGCAAGACAGAGGAGATTCACTCTGCCAGTGGCGATTGGCTTGGCAGACAAACACAGGACTTCCGACTGGCTTGTAGCCTGGGTTACACTGATACCTCACTTCGCTCTCAAATGTCCTGCCAGTTGTGTGCTGAGTAACAGGGAGAAAATAAATGAATGCAATGCATAAAATGGACAGTATAATCGTTTAAACACCTTAACAGTCAAAAGGAACAAAACTAGAAGAGAAAGTAGAAACAAAATGTCAGAATGAATCAATTAGAAGCAAATAAAGATTTGCATTGTTTTCAATAGTTCCACACTTCATTTTTTCTTTTTTCTTTTTTTTTTGTTTTTTTGGTTTTTTTTTTTTTTTTTTTTTTTTGGTACTAGGGATTAAACCCAGGACCTTGTGCATGGCACGGTCTTGACCACTGAGCTATATCCCCAGACCTTTTGATTTTATTTTGAGTCAAGGTCTCACTAGGTTGCTCAGTTGACCTCAAACTTGTTACTCTTCCGCTTCAGTTTCTGGAGTAGCTGGGATTATAGGGGTGAGCCACTGTGCCTGGCCCATTCTCTCTCTCTCACTCTCTTTCTCTCTCTCTTCCTCTCTGTCTGTCTCTCTGTCTCTGTCTCTCTATCTCTAACTCTGTCTGTGTCTCTCTGTCTATATCTATATATTCATAACGAAGTATAGAAGTGAAATGTAAATGATTAAATAATTTGGGTAATACTTAAAAACTGTAGATCATATCAATGATGGCAAATCTTTTAGAGCTTTCAGTGATAACAGCCTGCTGAGGCATGTGTACCATAGGCTCACCATCACTGGATTAGATGGTAAATTTTTTAAAAATCTTGCTGACCAAAGAAATGCTACAGTTTGTTGTTTTAACCTATGCACAAATGCACATATATTTGTTATTATTGTAACATAGCATAGAAATACAAAGAAAACATTTCTGTAGCTATATCTGAGGAATACTGAGTTTTGCTTTCTTCATACATACTTTTTTAAAGATCACTCCTAGGTCATAAGCTAGAAAATAAAAATCAATCTTCCATCTTTTAAAATTAAGGTTAATGTTCATAATATCAAAATTCAGATAAGTACATAATGATGAAGGTTGTGTTTGATAAAATGATTAAAATTTTAAGAAGATGATAATGGCCCTTTGGTGGTTATATTAATAAATTCCAGCTGTAGCACTGCAGTGAACTTAGCAGTATTTGGAATTACTTGTTTTTGTACATATTACTGGGGTACCTCTGGTGGATATAAACACTCCACCATCACAGACTAAATCTGTATTGCTAAATGTTGGATTTTGGGTGCTCATAACTATGTCTGATACCTAGTAGGGGCTCTAGAACTATTTGTTATATAAGTAAATTAAAAAGCTCTCTTACATATATACTCTATACTCTCAATGTAAAGCTAATTCATCTTCACGAAAATCTTGAAAGGTTTTTGCTGTTGCTTTGACTATAAAGGAGAAAGGGCAGTATATGTTGTGTGCTTTAAAAAAAAACATTTAAATTAGAAGACTATTTAAAATTGCCCTTGTATTAGGGAACAGATTCTTATTCCTGCTCCTTGATGGACTGATTGAGAAGACATGCAGAATATGTTCAAGACAGACTTTAACTCTGTCATGATGAAATAACCTTTAGATTCAGTAAAAGAGCAATATAAAAACTGCCTCTTATTTGGCTACCCTACCTTTTGCCTGAAAATGAGAAATGATAATATATTTCTTTGGGTTCCATTTAGATCTTTATTTCTTAAAAGAAACTGCATATTCATTTTGAAGAAGCATATGTAAAGCAAAATTATATTTTATTAAAATCTGCTTACTTTAACTTCACATTGAAGGCTAAGATATTCCCACAAAATGCTAGAAGACCTATCATACTGGTAAAATACAAAAACCTATATATTAAAAGGATTAATAATCACCTTAATGTTTTTCTAATATTTACCACTTATACATTTTTGCTACTTACTGTTTTTTGCCAATTAATCTGAAGTCCCTGCTTCAGAATCCCGGGGTTAGCTACAGTGGTGGCGCTGAAGTGATTCAAGCCCATCAGCTGCTTACCTCCAGAAAGCCATTCTCAACCTTGGGTGGTTCGCTGCAAGATACAGGGTGGCACGTGGGTGTGGGGCTGCTCCAGTGTCCCGTGGCTTCGCAGGTGGTCTTCTTCTCCCCTTTGATGAAGAAGCCCTTGTGGCAGCTATAAGCCACCATGGCCCCGAAACTGTAGTTTGATCCGCTCGCATAGCCATTCAGGATGCTCGGCGGCTCTCCGCACCGCACAGGAACACACTGGATGGACAGCGGGGAAGGGTTCCACTGCCCACCCTTCACACATTCGATCTTTGCTGAGGTGTTCAGCACAAAACCTTCCATGCACTTAAAACTCACGACTGAGCCAGCTGCAAATTTTGCTTTGCTCACAGATTCCAAGATGCTATAGGAAACAGACGGGGGTTTTTCACAGAAATGAGCTATACAACGAGGCATGGCCTGACCCTCTGGGGGAACCCACTTGCCCTGGGCATTGCAGAGCAGTTGGGAATTGTCCGCCAGGCTATAGCCATCTGAGCAGTAGTAGATTGCGATGTCTCCAAAGAGCCGATGGGCGGTCTCTGGAGAGGCGTGGTCCACGTTGGGGGGTTCATCACATGAGACGGCCAGACATTGCTGGTTACTTCCACTCCACTTGCCACTGGCCAGGCATTCAATGGTGTCCAGACCAGCAAGGGTATAGCTGTCAGATGCAGAGGAAAGGAGCAATAACTAAGTATAATATTTGAGAAAAAATGACATTGTCTTCTGATTTCAATTTTTATCTTCCCAACACTGTTTACTTTTATTCAATTTTTTGAAATAATATTTACTGTATTAATATGAAGCTTGTGGATCAAGTAACTTTCTTTTGAGATATGCAAATACATTTTAATGTTAATATTAATGTGTATTCAGAAAGAGAAAAGTATAATTTTTACTATTTAAGGAACTCTAATATTTGCTTCATATTTTTTAAAATAAAAATGAGGTCAGCTGTTTCTATTTGACTGAATTCAAGATTGAAATTCCATCATTTTCAGATGTTTTTAATCTGTTGATTTTAACATTAGTCTTTGAAACAAGCTCTGAAAGCCATATTTACAGCGAAGTGTGGTGGTACATGCCTGTAATCCTAGCACTCAGTAGGCTGAGGCAGGAGGACTGTCATGAATTGGAGGCAAGCTTTGGCTACATAATGAGTTCAAGGCCAGCACGAACTACATAGCTCCACATAACCTGTCTCAAAAAAAAAGAAGATGCATATTTGGCCTACAGATTATTATGGTTTGTGTCTAGATGTCTTCCCAAAGCTTTATGCAGCCATCAGAGGGAGGGGCAGTGGGCTTTCAAAGGTGGTTAAATCTAGAGTGTGTGATTCATGGTCCAATGCTGGGATTAAGGGCGAATGCTACACCTGCCCTAGGGCAGGTAACCTGCATACAATATAAGGGACAGAAAGAGGCTTGTCTCACTCTTCCTTTGCTTGCTTTTGCTGTCTTCCACTGCCATGAACTGTTGCCCCTCTGCTATGTGCTATCCTGCCTTTGAGCCAGCCAATTAGGGACTGAAACTTCTACAGATTGTGAGCTAAATAAACCTTTCCCTCTTTATCTTTGGGTGTCAGGTCAGCAAATGAGAAAACTAAACTAAGACAGATATCATAATTTTAGATCAATGTCTTCACCCATGTGGTACGGTTAAAAGCTGTTTTCTGCAGATGGATTTGCTATTTAATCAGTATGAATAAATTATGCTTGATAACTGTCTTTATGCACAAAGTATTTTCCCACTTAAAATGATAGACTGATGATGTGCAAAAATCTTAAAGTGCTCTCAAGTGTTATCTCAAAGAAGTAGAGCAAAATATTAGGATACACAATATTAGAATAATGACACTTGTCATTTTTATTTTCATTGTTAATATCTTATTGATGAGAAAGATGACAGTTTTGAAAGAACATCTAAAATTTGATTACTATAATTTTTTATATTAATGAAGGGTAAAGGGCTTAAAATATTTGTGTACCTAATTGAGTCCTATTTAGGTAAGTTGATTTATTCATTTTATAGATGGGTGAGTGGTGATTCAGACAGATAAGGTAAGTTTCCTAAAGTGACACAGTTGTATGAAACAGAGTTGAAATCTGAATTTGGTTTATCACATCCCAGTTCTCTCACATTTCCTACAATACTGTTCTCATTCCCTTTTTCTTTTGCTCTCTCTCTTTCTTCTCTCTTTCCAGTGAAAGATAAGACCATAACCTGGTGTTCTATGGGAACTCTGTCACAGTGTCACTAGAGAATTTGTTTGATCCACCCATTAATAAAGATTCTTAGGTCATTTGTTACCCAAAATTTCACCTGATGTTTTGTTTTGTTTTATAAGATTAGCTATTAGGCAGAGGTTGTAATTCTTCATTTTAACTGAAAGTATTTATGAAATCTATAAGAGACAGACAGATCCAAAAGAAGATAAAGCATCAGCAGAGATATGTCTGCACCCCACCTGTGGTCATATGTCATGAAAATGAATAGATGTGATCTCAAAATGAACACCCATAGACATGCCCAATAGCTGTGTTCACAAACTCAGGCAATTCATAGCTCTGGATAAGCTCAGTTCTTTGTATAAAGACATGAATTTAACAAGTTTTTAGATTGTTTCTATCTTAGAGAATTCAGGAAGGTGTACATAAGCAATATGTTTAAAATATGATTTTATTATTAAAAATCCATTAGCCCTGGATTGGGTGCACAAATTCCATCATTTATGTGTGGGATATACTCTAGTGGAAGTTCCATTTATTGAGACTCGTCATGTTTTATGGCACAATTTGCCTCACTGAAACAGGCATCATTATGTTCATGGATCCCTTGATGTTGCTGGCACATTTCATTGGCTGGAGTTCATAGACATAGCCTTAGACATCCCTGACTTATAAAAATCCATTGCGCCATCTATAACATTTCATTATTTAAGGTGATCAGCTGCTGTGCACAGAAATATGTGCCTCCAGAACTGTCCTTATTCCTCAGGGACTCCTGTGAGTGCAAAAACTGTTTCATAATTTGGTAGCACTCTGTCAGGCCTCTGACTTCCAATCTTATGAAAACTCTCCACCAACTCCAAAGCTGTCCTATACTTTCATGGTACATTACCACTACATTCATACTTTTTGAATAAATGAATTTGAAGAATGCACTTTCAATGCTATCCAAACTTTCTTAGAACCTACAATATCGCTTCATCTGACTTAAGAACTTGGTTTTTCCTTGTGCCTTGCAGTTAACACTCAGTTCTTCATTAAATAACGCTTAAGGACCTGTTGTGGGCCACAGCCATGTCTTCAGTGCACAGATATGAGGCCAATGCATTTACTTGTTTGCACCTGTGCTCCCCATCCACCCACCAGTACCTGGGGTGCTGTAGGCCCCTTCACAACCACAGTGGTTGATTAACAGAGGAGTGATTGAGAAGGAAGCCTAGAAGAGTCATTCAGGGAAGATATGCACCATGAGCAAAGAAATGGGAGTGGCTATAGCTGGGACATATTTGGAACTTACAGGTAGGTTCAGCATATAAACACTTGGCTTAGGAGGTCAATGCCTTATCCATTAGGCCACTGGGGCTTCTAACACTTGGAAAAATGAGGCACAAACTCTAGTATCCTGTGTGTTTTTGACAGGTTACTGTGCTGTGTAATGGGTGAGGATGTGGCAGGCATAGATTAAATGTGCACAGCATAAGAAATACATATTTGGTCTCTGGCCCTTGTTCTTCACACAGAACTCCTAAAGCCTTTGTGATGTCCTGAGTGTTAGGAGTCCCAGTGCTTTGAATAACTAGATAATGTATTCAGTGAAGAACAAGGGAGAAGATTACCAAAAACAAGTGTACATCAGTTGGTCTTTTAAGATGCTAATGAAAGACATATTTCCCAAATAACATAAAAGAGGAATTAATCACTAGCTATTGCCTGCATAGCAAGAGGATTAGTCTATGATTAAACTGATGCTCAATTTTAGCAGTATAAGTGGTCTATGATCAAATTGATGCAGTATTTCATTATGTTAGAAATCTCTGTTAAGATTTACAACAGACATATTTCACCCGTTTAGTTTATTAAGAGTCACTTAGAGAATGATAAAATTATGTGCAGATGATGAAATAGGCCCATAAATGCCAGCTACCAAAGCAAGAAAAATTGGAATTGGTACAAAATCTAACCTAAAATGAAAGAATATTTAATTAAATTCTGTGCCATGTTTTGTACTCTCACTCAAGATACATTTGGGACACTTTTGCAGATTTCTATTTAAAATCAGGCCACATATATTGTAAAACAAATTGTTTTACCCTATATGCCCAAGGAAGAATGGCCTGTCAAGATCATAGTGATGCTTTAGAAGGACCTGAGGATAAGCTGGTTGGGATACACTTTAATGTTCCTGGAGCACTAGCCAAAAAATACTTTGAAAATCGGCAGAGTAATTTTCAGGAACAAAGTTCAAGGATTTAATTCATACACTGAGTGGAAGAGTATTAAGGAGCATGCCCTGTTAAGCTTAATGGGAAATCTCCCAAGTGAAATAACACTTTTTCTAAAAGAGAAGAGTTCACCAAACAACTGCAACTTCATAAAAACAACTGCATTAGTAATTACCTTGTTTTCAATTAATAGCAATGATCAAAACTTTTATCTTAAAGTATCCGATATGTGCATTTAGTACTTTATAGTTGAGAAGGTCCAACAGGAAAAAAATGATTAGTTTTTTAATGATATCAATAACCTCTCCAGTCTTCTGAGATTCATACCAAGGCTTATAAAGCTAAAGAGGAGAAGGAAAATGGGAAACAAATGACCACATTTATATTTGCCTACATGACTGAAAAATCCCAACGTTTAATGGCTCTGAAAAAAAGTTTGGAGAAGATAAATGTTTTGATAAAAGATGAACTTTGAAGGCCAAATGAAGGGCAGGATGAAGAAACAAAGCTTCTTGCTTCTATCCTGTTCTGTCATTATCCTGCTACTCTGGTTTCCTGAAGTCTCTGCCTTTTCATTCTAAAACTGAGACTGGATCTTGCTCCTGTAATTTAGGGAAAGATCTATGCAAAGGACCACCAGTACAAAAGAAAAAATCAGTGAGATGGCAGCAAAACTGCATACATACACATGCAATAAACAGGTCAGGGTGGCTTATGCAGTGTGCAGGTGAGTGAGAGGACAGTATTGAAAAAGACAGGATAGGAAGTAAACCTGAAGCTCACAACGTCAATAGCGTTTTAGGAAGTGGACAGAGAAATCAAGACAGGTCGTATTTTTTTAGGAGTCATAACTTGAACACATTGATGCCATATTAATCAACCTGTTGGTGGAAGAAATGGAAAAGGAGTAAAAAAAAAAAAAAAAAAATGAGAACTCCTACTACCGGCTATAACATAGTCTGAAAACTCTCGCTATTTAGTACTTATTGAAATAATAAACATTGTTTTAGATTCATAGATGAGCTGATGAAGGGAAATCTCCATGTTCCAGATGTGAGAAGGAAACAGAAACCAGAAAAGGTAGTTCAAGGATGAATGCTATGACTGACCATGATTAGACAAGGAAAGAAAGTACAGAGGATGTATTACAGAACCTTGCAGTTGAATAAGGTAGTAATACCTGAGTCTCTGCTAGAATCCACTTCCTGGAA